ATGGGCAGAGAAAGTGATCTCACTATAGAAAGAGAGCTTTTCTCTTCATGATATTACTTGAGGTATGCATCGTTTAAAACAAAACCAGACTTCATTCCTACATTTTGGAATAAGCCTCTTTACGTTTAATTAAGGAAGCAGGTATTTTATTTCTATTATACTTGGAATATGCTTAAGTTAATAGACAAAACATAAGCCAAAGGCAGGTTTCTTAGAACTTTTCAGTAGCAGCAAAAATCACCTTTAAAAGATGTTTCATAAACTTATGACTTCTAAAGCTTACAGTTCCCTCTGGTCTATGGAGATTTTTTCTATTAGAAGTAAAAATAATAAGAAAAAAATATGCATTTCCAAGCCTGCAAAAATGTGATTTATTGAAGTGTAAGGAGAGTGCTTGCATGGAAGAGCCTGAACTCTAAATGACAAAGAGATTTTTAAGTTTTGTATTCTTGCATGTTAAGCAGAAAAAAAAAAATGTTGCAACAGATCACTATCAGTGATAAAATGAATAATTTAAAAACCATTAATGAAGACAGACAATTGTAAGTGCAGTTTGTGTAGTATGTCTTCAGTAACTACTTACAAGTCAGCTGGAGACATCAGAGCAAAGAAGAAGGGAAGAACTGGAGCAGTGTGTGCTCAGTAGCCTTTGACAGCTGGAATGAAGAAAATAGAAGAAATAAAAATGAAAAGATGAAAGCTAACCTAGTTAAAAATAGTCATGGAAGCTTGCTTTTTGTTGTTGTTGTTGTTTTTGTTTTTTATTTTTTTTTTTTTCATAATGTGCTGTTTAAACTGCTTGTTTATAATTCAGCCTCTCAAATATACATGAATTGGAGCAATACGTACCTTGGCTTCGTCTCTTTTAGTTTCCAGACTGACTGCTATTTGGAGGCCTCATTTCAAACAACTGGACTAATGCTATTCCATAAATTGCTACCTTTCTAAAGCTGTGATGTGAACCTGCCTGAACAACTGCCACTTTAGCACCACAATAAAAAATGCCTTTCATATAACAACACTCTTCCTTTCAGGGGGAATAATGAAACAAAGTAAAATAAAAAGGAATGATCATCTGTTTGCAGCTAGCAGATCTGGTGGTACACAGAGCTGAAAGAGTTGCTCTTCAGGTATGTTTTCTGCCCCATAAACTCAGAAGTGGTGCACACAGAGCATACACCTCCTGCTGCATCACTCACCCCGAGCACACCTTGTATTCACAAGTAACCACAACACCAAAGCCCACCTGAATTTTGCACGGGGTTTCGTGAATACAGAAACTTCCCAGGTTCACAGAGGTGCTTCTTCTTTTCTCTCCTATCTTCTCACTGAAGACAGAAGACACTGGGGAAAATCCTCAATATGTTTGCGGATGGTATCAAGTTGGGAGAACGTGTCAATCAGCTTGAGGGTAGGTAGACCCTGCAGAGGGATCTAGATAGGCTAGATAGCTGGGCTGAGGCCAGTTTCAACAAGATCAAGTGCCAGGTCCTGCACTTTGGTCACAACAATGCCAGGCAACACTACAGACTTGGAGCTGCGGGTGCTGGTCAGTAACTATGAGCTAGCAGTGTGCCCAGGTGGCCAACAAGGCCAGCAGCATCCTGGCTCATATCAGAAATAATACAGTCAGCAAGACCAGGGAGGTAACTGTCCCTCTATGCTCAGTACTGGTGTGGCTGCACTTCAAGTACTATTTTCATTTTGGGGTTTGTTTCCTAACAGTCAGCAATCTCCAGCACGAATGTCACTCTCTCAAGCCTGGTCTAATGGAGATGGCCATCACACTAGTTTGACTTGAGTCATTCTCTGCCAACCCTTTCAGCTGCTGAAGCCTTTGGTTTAACACCAACTGGTTCCTAGCTGAATTAAGCTAAATTAGCACTGGCTTTTAAAAAGAAGCGTGCCTAGTGCAAAGTTCCCAGATAAACACGACACAGCAGAAGGGAAAGTATCTTGAAGGGAGATGTAGAATTCAGTTCTCACAGAGATGCAGTTGGTCCTTGCTAGTGGGAGAGCAGAATGGGGAAACCTGGACATGTGCTTCTTATGCCAGATCCATTCTTGAATAAACAGAAGGGCTTCAGTTTCCAGCTTTCTATTTTACACGAAGAGTTTCAAATTTACATTTGAGAAAGTGGCCTTGAAATAAGATTGTCATGTTTCTCTCTTTTAGCTCAGGATACACATTGAAAACACCCAACATTTCTTCCGTATCTGATAGCAAACCATTTGGATTATAATATTTTGCAATTTTACTCTGTGACACTAATGAAGTAGTCAGGAAGCGTCCTACTGTCAGGTACCATCCATCACTTGATATACGTATGAATCTGAATGCACAGAGGCTTAAGTCCAATGAGAAATCCTTCAGATAAAGAATGAGGCTATTTACCTCCCACTTTGTCATGAAGGCTCAGATCAGAAAGCTCTGAGACTTCACCTTTCTTTTTATATAGCACTATCTTGACCCTCCAGCCCAGTCTGATTCATGTGACGTGTAGATAGACCTGGGAGAAGCACAGGTGTCTAATACAGTCCTGAGGGCTGAAGGTTCTCTCAGCCTTTGTACCAGAGCTTCACCTGTGAACATGTAAGAGCCATAAACTTGCTTCTCTCTGCCTCACCTTCCTGAGACCTCCACTGCCTTCTGCCTTGCTGTATCCAGAACTAATTGCTGCTTGGAAGCACTTGTAAATGTAAAGCTGATACACTTTAAATGCAAAGTTCAAGCTGTTCCCCTATAATCAGTGGTATTGTATAGTGGTTACTGGTTACTCAACCCACCTCAGGGTTTAACTGCACAGAATTAACGTTTTAGAAAAAGCAAAGATTCAATTCTTTATTCAGAGGTAATTAGAGGATAACTTTTAATCACAGAATCATAGAATCATGGAATCATAAAATGGCCTGGGTTGAAAAGGACCACAATGTTCATCTAGTTTCAATCCCTGCAGGGTCTCCAACCACCACACCAGGCTGTCCACGGCCACATCCAGCCTGGCCATGAATGCTTCCAGGGATGGGGCATCCACAACTTCCTTGGGCAACCTGTTCCAGTGCATCACCACCCACCGAGTGAAAAACTTCCTCCTAATATCTAACCTAAACCTCTCCTGTCTCAGTTTAAAACCATTCCCTCTTGTCCTGTCACTGTCCAGCCTCGTAAACAGTCATTCCCCCTCCTGTTTATATGCTCCCTTCAAGTACAGGAAGGCCACAATGAGGTCTCCCCGGAGCCTTCTCTTCTGCAAGCTAAACAAGCCCAGTTCCCTCAATCTTTCCTCATAGGAGAGGTGCTCCAGCCCTCTGATCTTCTTAGTGGCCCTCCTCTGGACCTGCTCCAAGAGCTCCACATCCTTCCTGCACTGGGGGTCCCAGGCCTAGGTGCAGTGGAGCCTCACAAAAGCCGAGCAGAGGGAGACAATCACCTTCCTCTCTCTGCTGGTCACCCCTTTTTTTAATGCATCCCAGAACACAGCTGGCCTTCTGGGCTGCAAGCGCACACTGCTGGCTCCTGTCCAGCTTCTTGTCCACCAGGACCTCCCAAGTCCTTCTCCACAGGGCTGCTCTCAAGGAGATCTTCCTCCAGCTTGTATGAATCATCAAGAAGTACTTCAAGTCAAATAATGAGAAAGGCCTAGCTTAGCTCTATGAGATGTAGCCTAGAATCTGTATGGCATCTGGTGCTTCATTTTACTTGTGTAACCATTTGGCTGCTTTTCTTCCAAATGTTAACCTTGAATTTTAAAGTTTCAGAAAATGAAACCCTTATTTGGCTCATTATGAGAGATGTAAGATGGTGTTAACAAATCATTCTGTAAGCCAAGCCAGGCTCATGGACGTTCATTGTGAGAACCCAGCAGACAAGCTGCACCTGCATCCTGCCCTGGAGAAGTATAAGTGCCTGAGCTTTCAGAAGTAACGGGCACTCAGGAAGGTACTTAGCACTGAAACATTAATATCCAGCCAATCTCCATTGCTCTCCTGAGCACCCATACTGCAATGCTACCATTTTAATGACAACACTTCTGAAAACTTCACCTAGCCTAGAACTGTGAAGTGCTTTGGGTAATGCAGCCCAGCTTGCGGAGCACAGCAAGCTGCTGGAGATCCATTGCAGCACTCAGGCTAGTGCAGCTGGGACTGCACTGGGACATCTGCAAGGCAAAACTCACTGCAGATTATCCTGGGATAGCATCTAATGCAGGTTAGCATTAAACAAAAAAGCAAACGTGTAAGTAACCTTACTGGGCTCCCAGCCCCTGCTCAGTTGCAGATGGAAAACACCACATGCAAAGATCTCACTTGGGCTTTTCTTCTGCGCTTCTGTCCCACCACTCTGACTACCTGCGCTTCAGCCATCACTGCTAAAGTGACCCGCTCTGCCCACTTTCTGTGTAACAGAAAAAACCGACATGGTATTTCAGCATAGAAAAACCTGTCAGCCATCCGAAAGCGCAAATAGGTTTTCCAACTCGCGTACCACACCCCGGATCGCTGCTAAGTGGGGCTAAGGAGGGCGCTAACCAAAGCGGAGCCGATCGATGCAGACAGCCTTGGCCAGGCTGACCCCGCCGGCCCCTCCGCCACCCCCGGTCCCCTCCCGCTTCGCACCGCGTCCGACGCCCTCATCCCGGCGAAGTTCCCGCACCGCCACCCGCGCTCCTCCCTTCCGCTGCGGGGCCCGGAGCGGGTCGTCGTACCCCGGTTCCCTTCGCCATGTGAGGGAGCGGGGGCCGCGGAGGAGCCCGCCCCCGGGAGCGGTGGGGCCGGCTGGGCGGCTGTGCGTTGGATTTGGCGGGGGGACGGCGGGCGGGGTGGGTGGGCAGCCCGCAGCCCCGCCGTGGCAGCCCCGAGCCGCCGGCGGGGCTGAGCCCGGCTCCGCGCAGGTAGGGGGGCGCCGGGCTGAGCCCCACCGGGAAGTTCGGGGCTGCGGGAGGAGCGGGCGCGGTGCCCTGCGGTGCCGCCGCCCCCGCCGGGCCGGGCCGCCGGTAAGGGCCGGGGAGGCGGGCGGTGCGGCGGCTTTTAAATGGCTTTGAGGAGCCGTACCTCGGAGGTGGGGTTGCGCCGGGAGCTGGAGCGTCTCGGCTCGCCGCGGCCGGAGCAGCGTACGTATATGTGTGTGTGTTCGGGGTGTGATGCGCGGTGTGCTGGGGACGGAGCCGGGAGCGCTGTCGGTGCCGTGGGAACTCCTCCGGGCTCCGCCGTGCCTTTAAAACACGGGAAGGAAGAGATGCTGCGTGTCTGTTTGGGGAGTTCGGGAGGGATGTAGTTTGGCTCGGGGCGCTTCGATGCGATGGTATGCATTTAAAAACCAACCAGCACTTCAGGCTGAGTGAAAGGTTCATGAAAAATACCGTGCATGCAGATGAGCGGGACGCAGCCGGCTCCGCGCTGCTCCACGCCGGGCAGCGCTGTCACTCAGCCCCGGCCCGAAGACTGCAGCCGCGGGAGACCCTGATCCCGGGACGGGGGTCGGCGTGCGAGGCTCGGGAGGAGGTCCGCTCCGGAGCGGGGGGAGGAGGAGGAGGAGGAGGAAGAAGAGGAGGAGGAGGGATGGCCGCGGCAGCAGGCTGTGCTCTGCCCGGTGCGTGCGGTTCGCACGGTGCTCGAGGTGTCGTTGCGTCGGGGTGGGGGAGAGGTGCCCGGGCTGAAGTGTTCTAACCGCTCTCTTCCTAGGGGCTGCGGATCCGCCGCGCACTTCCCTCCGATGTGAGCGCAGTGTCCCCTGTGGGATGCAGTAGGTGATGCCCAGCTCTACTGCAATGGCAATTGGAGCTCTCTCCAGCTCTCTCCTGGTAACCTGCTGCCTCATGGTTGCCCTCTGTAGCTCCACCATCCCCCTGCAGAAGCTGGCCAGGGCACAGGACAAGCAGGAGATCAAGGCCAGCCAGGAGAAGAGGGACCACGCGTCGGCGAGGGACAGCCAGGCCGGTGCGGGGAAAGTGGGCGAGATCGGCCGCAGCGGGAGGGAGGAGGGCAGCAGGGACTGGAAGAGCAAAGGCAGCAGGAACTACTCCAACAAGGAGTCGTGGACCAAGCAGAAGCAGGCTTGGAGCAGCCAGGGAACGGGCGGGAAGTCCGCCAGCGTGCCGGTCCAGGAGCAGCGGGACATGGCAGCCGAGGCGCCTCGTCTAGCCGAGGCCTCGTCGCTGCCGGCGGCAGTGGCCAGCGCTACCCCGGAGCCCCTGGAGGAGTATGCCTACCCGGACTACCGCGGGAAGGGCTGTGTGGATGAGAGCGGCTTCGTCTACGCCATCGGGGAGAAGTTCGCTCCAGGCCCCTCAGCCTGCCCCTGCCTGTGCACGGAGGAGGGCCCGCTGTGCATGCAGCCCGAGTGCCCCAGGCTCCACCCTCGGTGCGTGCATGTGGACACCACGCAGTGCTGCCCGCAGTGCAAGGAGAGGAAGAACTACTGCGAGTTTCGGGGGAAGACCTACCAGAGCCTCGAGGAGTTCATGGTAAGGGCTGAGCAGAAGGGCTTTTGCAGGGCCTCGGCCGCTTGGAGCCGCACGGGGAGTTTGGAGGGTGCTCTGGGTCTCCCCTCCCCTTTTCATTTCTGCCTTAGCACTGCTTCTGTGGTGCTGTGAAATATTCCCCTCAAACATGACCTTTCTTGTGCTGCGATACTGTAATAATTTTAAATGATGGGGCTGGTCTCTATTAATTCCTTTGGTATTTACAGTAAAAAATGCTACTTGAAAGGATGCTGCTTGGCAGCGAGGTGGATTTGAAGAGGATTTCCAGCACTGCGTTTGTTCTCTTGTTTTACCGTTCCCTGTGACACTTGTGCCGTGCAGGGACCAGGCAGGGGTTGCGGGTTGACTCCCATTCCCGGCAGTCAGGCAGTGATGTTACCTTTTTTTAACTGTCTAATCTGAGCGGAAAAGGTTGTGCAATGCTTTCAGAGAACAAGGATGGGCCTGCCTTTTAATGAGAGCAGGGGTTACTGTCTGGTTTAAGGTTACATTGAAACAAAGGGCTTGAAAAGCTGTGTTTAGAGAGAGCTTTTCAGAGCAGAGCCTTTTAAACACTGCTGTCCAAGGTCATTATTATTGAAAATGTATATTGTTTACTGCAGTGCACTGAAAAGTTTTGAAGTTTTCTGGTTGCTTATCTTGCCCTTTTCACATGTTATAGTGGCTGAGCTCTGCAGGCAGGCTGTAAGGACTTGCTTGGGAATGGCTGCAGGTGAGGATCTGGTTCAGCACCTTTGTGGCAATACACGGCTTTGGCTTGAGTGGGCTGAGGGCTCTTTGGAGCCCTGTCAGCTTGAGCCTTTCATAGGTAGAGGAAGATAAATTACATTTGTGAAAGATGTAAATAAGTTTCCCCCTCTGCTCTCTGTGGTGTCTGTGTGCTCTTAGAAGCTTATTTCTATTTATGTCTTCACATTTCACATGCAGAGTATTTGTTGTTTTCAAAGCATGGCAGAAGACATTGTGCATCCTCTCAAAGATGGCATTCAGCTCTGGGGCAGTGGTTTCCCTTTAAGAGGAAGACCACTGTAGTAGTGGCAGGTCGGTGACACTTCAGAGATAGGTTGTAAGATTCCTTCTTTTTCAGTGAAGTTAATTCTGAACGGCAGACAGAGCAGTGATGCTTTTGCACTTGCTCTGTGCAGGTCTCCATATGGAGGTTTAAAAGGCTTCTCCTCACTGTTAGGCCAACTTCTAACAAGTTGCTTTTCTCTGTATATAGTGGTGTCCTGTTACTGGCTATAAAGCAAATCTGAAGTACCTTGTTCAGTGTATGCTGGGAGAGTATAGCCTTAGGACTTCTGTTATACTTGAGCATGGATGGCAGCTTTGGTAAAAAGGGAACACAAAGAGTGACATTTACAAAAATGTTAGTGTAGGCTTTGGCTTCCAAATTCTTTTTAACCCTGTTCAGCCTTTATATAGTTGAACTGATGCCCTCCTGCAATGAAATAGTATGTCCCTTACTGCTTTGTATTTGTCGGCTTTAGAAAGGAGGGAGAATGGGTGCCTGTTCCAGGTGTGCAAGGAAAGTTACCAGCACAGCACAGCAGGGGGTTTGCAACTGCTTCGTTTTGACATGTCAGGACATTGCTTTTTTGTCAGGCTCCCACACTGGTTCCAATAATACAGGCACAAAACTGTAAACACAATCATCAGCCCATGCAGCCGCAATTAGCTGCGATGCCTGGCAAAGGAGAGCACAGATGTGGTCAGATTGCTGCTTGGTGGAAACAACTGCAAATGCAAATCATCACACACAAAGGCTTTTTCTACAAGTTTAAAGCTGGCTGTCTTACAGAGCTTTCTTATATGCCACCTCTTGATGAAGGTCAGGGAAGGAATTATAAATGGATAGAAGTCTGATTTTATTCTGTCTTCACCTTTGTTTTCTGTTTATTGCCACTCATCAGACATTATTGAAGGAAGAAAAACGTGACTTAACTTTTAAGGGAAGTTACCTACACAAATACTTACATGCAGATGTGTATATATATACATGCAGGTTTAGGAGTCTGCTTATATAAAATTTGTATATAATTCAACACAGCAAAACATCTCCTTGAAAAGAGCCGGTACTAACTCAGAAGCTGAGTTTGCCAGGGAAGGAAGATTTGATGCTTTTCTTCTTGGTTGACAGGAAAACCCACAGGCTCTGTGTGCGTGTGTGTATGTGTACACCTATGTTTTTCTGCTTTTCAAAAAGGATAGGAATATCAATACAAAATCACAAGGATGAGGTTTCCTGAAGCTGTTTTCATCAACACTGCTCTGCTCTCCTGGGGTTATTGTGATGCTGTATGGCAGAGGCATCGTTGCAGGATCCGTACAAGTGAAACTGGAGCAAAAGCCTCAGCACTGCTGGTGAAACGCAACTAGGGTAAAATTCAGCACTGGAGCTAGAGATTGCTGAGCACATACTCCATGAGATGTTTTTCAGTCTTACAGTAACATTTGGAAATGCAGGCTGACATATAAAGTAATAGCCTTTCAGGGACCATAAATAATCTTCAGAAGTGCATTATTCAATGGGGAAGATATACATTGTTGGAAGTTGTTGCTTTATGGGTTATGGGTTTTGTTTTGAATGTCTGTGCCACCAAAAAATGTGGTTTTTGTTTTTGTTTTTATTGTTGGGAGGTGAATACTTTGGAAATCCGGAAGTCAACAAACCCAAACAAATTTTGAAACATCTGTGACACTGTGAAGTGATAGAGAAATAAAAGCAAGGCTGGTACATTGTTGTAGGTGAATGCAACAGTACATTTAATTCTTGTCAACCTAATTCTGTTCAAGTTCTCCTAAGTTGTGTGAAAGAAAATAGTTATTCAAATTCCACCAGAATAGCAAATCACTTTGGGATTATGATTTTTTTTTTTAAAGCTTAGATTTTCTCAAAGAGCAAATGTGGATTGCATGTAATCTATAATATTTTATTTGGCATGTGGGAAGGGAAAAGATAAAGCTCAGCTTACTCTGTATCAGAACTTTAATGAGTGTCAATGACTTCTCACTTCTTAATTGCAACAGTTTAAGTTGTAAGTTGCTTGATAAACCTACTACTCTCACTAATGTTCAGTTTTCTTCATGCTCTGCTAGTGGGAAGTCTACCTGTTTACGCAATCATGTGTTTGTATTTTTTTCCTGCATCTGCAACTTGATAGCAAAATGTTTACACGTCTGCTCATAAACTTCCCTGTAAACAGTTCTAAAGAAGTTTTTATTTTTGCCATCTGTACTCCATTTTCTACAGGTTTTACAGCTGCCTGGTGAATACTTCAGCCTTCTGTGCTTCTTGTTGTCTTTCCCCAGTTTTTGCATAGACAGATCTACTGCTGCTGTGTAGTTAACAACTTCATCTGCAGACCAGAGAGTCATGGCATTGTTAGTCTTCAGAGAGAGACTGCTAGGTCATGTCATCTCCAGTCCAGCCTGGTTATGTCAAATGTGCTAAGTGTGAGTTCTGCAAGACTGGTGGTTTCCCAGATGAACAAGTAGGCTGCTCATTGCATTGGCTGTCATTAGTGACTGTGCTGCAGGGAATGTTCTTATGTTACAGGAACAGAGGAGAGGAAATGAAGGACCAAAAATTTCTTTTCATTCTGATTTATTTAACTTCTGTTGTAATACACTGTCTTATTGTCTCTCTCTCTAATGATGATTATGTTTCTAAGTATTCAGCTGCCATTAAGATAAGAAATTGTTTTTCTATAGTTCCTGTTACATCATGATAATATATAAAAAACAGTGCTGTACCATTTAGTCCAAGGATGAATAGATAAAGGTGGACACTAACACTGTTTTAGCAGCTACTGTGGTTCACTTACATGCTTGAAAAGAGGTTTGTGAGCACAAACATATGCAGAACCTCCTTGATGCCAGTCCCCTTCCTCACCAAAGTGGGCTAAGCTTGTATGCGTGGTCCTACTGACTTTGGTAAACACTCTGAGGTATAAAAATTAGCGTTGTAAAAGTGGGAGGGAAAGCAGCAGTGTCAAACAAAACAGGATTTGTGAGCATTGGAATCTGATCTCTGGTTCTGACACATACCTGGAGTAGGAGAACACCAAAGCTGATGGTTTTGCCACACTTTTCCCATGGCTATGTTCCCATGGGCATGTTCCTATGGAATCTATGTTCCTGGGTAAGTAGAAGATGGAACCTTTGGACTAAGGAGTGGCAGGGAGTCAAACTGCTGTTTGTACAGTTGACTGAGACAGAGACATCAGAGGAGTGTTTATCCCACCCAGTAATGGGCCTAACAGTTGGCGGTGCTTACTTGTAAAGATGGAGAAAGACTTTTTACCAGACCCCATAGTGGCTAAAAAGAAAGGGCAACAGCTTTCAACTACAAAACAGTGGGTTTAGATTGGGCTTCATGATCTTGGAGGTCTTTTCCAACCCTGATGATTCTATGATTAGATATTGGGACAAATTCTTCCAGATGAGGGTAGTGAGGCAATGGCACAGCTGCCCAGAGAAGCTGTGGGTGCTCCATCTCTAAAGTCACCCAAGACCAGGTTGGATGGGGACCTGGGCAGCCTGAGCTGGTGGGTGGCAGCCCTGCCCATGGCAGGGGAGTGGGGCTGGGTGAGCTTTAAGGTCCCTTCCAGCCCAAATTGTTCTGGGATTCTGTATGCGTTCTCCTGAAACAATCCATCATTACCAAACAGGAAGAGTGTTCCTGACTGCAGTGTAACATGAGCAATAGTGTACTGATTCATGAACAATGTGGTCCTTAACTGAATGCACTGTACAAGAGGAAAGGGCATCATTCCAAATTATCATTACTAGACAAAGATTCGATCAGTTTTGTTTGTCGTTTTGCAGTATTATCAATTTTTTACTTACTGGTTTGTTGCTGTAGAAGTTTTAGACTTATGCATGTCTAAAAAAATGTTGAAGCCTATTGAAAGCTATAGATTTGCCTTGTTGAGCCATATCCTTGGAACTGAGTTCTAGTAGCACTGGTCAAATAGGATTTCTAAATTTCTTTTTCTCATAATTTAGTAAGCATTTCTTTCTGCACCTAAGTCCAGAGGGAAGACTATTTACTAATGACTTGCAGGGGCTCATTTTTGCTTACATTCAAACTTTCACATGAAATTCAAGTGACTGTCTGAAATAGCTGACTCTGAGCACTAGATCAGAAATCTCCTCATCTGCTGACATTCCAACTCTGCAAGTGAACATGGCAGTCTTTGAACAATTACAAGACGAAGTTTCCGTTTGAAAGCCCGCAATAAAAGTCTGCAGCAGTGGGCTGTCAGCCTCCATGTAGCATTTTATAAATGCATGATGCATATTTTTGTCCTGAGTGGAGTGCAAAGCAAAGGGAAATCGGGAAACAAGTAGCTAGCAAAGGAAGTCTGAAATAAATAATAGTAATAAAAGCAGAAAGCAACACAGCAAGAGACCCTATTTAGGCATTCTAAGTAGAGGGGATGGTGTTAAAAAATACACAAGTGCATAAAGAAATGACAGTCCTGGCAGGTGGGAAGAGAAGTAGCAAAGCATGGATGAGCATTTAGTTAGAGATGATGCTGTGCAAGCATCAATGTATTTGAACTCAGGAAGTGAGAAAGATGTGAACAGGACAAGCAAGCCAAGAATGGAGTTCAGGAAAAAAGAAATATGATAGAAATACGCTTCAGAAAGAGGGAGAAGATACCAGAAGATCTGCAAGTTAGAGATCTCACATGATTCTCCATAACAAAAACTATATTTTTTAGTTTTGAGGTTACTCTGCTCATGTTGGAGAAATGCAGAAGATGGTTGTTCTGCATCAGCTGGAATCTGGAATGGGAAAGACTCCAAGCAAAACCAGCCTCGTCAAAGTGTTGACCTTAAGTAAACCTGGAATGTGAACAGATGATGGATTTAGAGGATCACTGTTATTAACATGCAGCCAGATTGTCATCCTGCGCTTTGAGCATAGATAGCAGTGTGGGGCTTTTTTGAGAATAGTGATGCAATTTAATGTACAATTTCTTTTTCTTTGGTGTCCTTCCTTCCCTCTACCTCCAGCTCTTCTAGGAGTACACGGACATTAGAGATACCATGTGCAGCACCTTGTGGGAAAGAGAACAACTGGAATTATACATCTAACAAACACAGACTTTTTAAAGTCCATATCTTTCCTAAAGGGATCCTTGATTCCATTTTGTTAGAAATTAATTTAATTGAAGTAGGTCATTTAAGTAGCTATCTCCTGGAGCTTCTATTCTGCAGAATTCTTCAAAACCAGTTACGTTTCAGTAGGTAAAAAAGGATGACCCTATTTCTTTATTTTTTGGCTTCACTTCTTTCTTTGAGTTGCATTTTCTTTTCAGAAAGTTTCACATATTACAAAAGAGTAGTTAACATCTGGGAAATATCTGAGTTCACAGGATGTTTTTCCCTACTTCACAATGAGAATGATCATTTTCAGTGAAGTTGCATTCAGTGAAATGCAACTTCCTGCCACCAAGAGGTTTCAAACCTGGTAAAAATGCAATGAAGATTTCCATTAAAAGGAGTTTCATGTTTAATTTAGCAAAAATTCTCCTTTAATTTTAATGCGGTATTTTTTTGCTAAATTATTTTTTGAACATCTAATAAAATTAAGCAAAATTTCAACTGAATTAGGAACCTATTATGCAGGAATTTCACTAAAAATGTAGGAATATTTTTACTTTAGTTGTGTTAAAATCTAAGAAGTTGTTGTTCCTGAGATCCCTTTAGCAATTCCATTTGGCACAGGTTCACAGCAGAGCTTGCAAATCATTTTGCTGCAGTCCTGTAATTTTGCAGGAGCCCAGCCTTGACCTCTGCTTTATTCAGACCATAAAAAGTATATGTTTTAAAGGAAGAGGAATAAGAGATAAAGGAAAGAAGAAGTGAAAGGATTAAAAGATGAGTGGATTTGTGTTTCAGGTTTCTCCATGTGAGAAGTGCCGCTGTGAAGCCAATGGTGAAGTGCTGTGCACTGTGTCAGCGTGTCCCCAGACCGAGTGCGTGGATCCTGTCTATGAGCCTGATCAGTGCTGTCCTATCTGCAAAAATGGTAAGTGGCTGCTGCAGAACTAAAAGGGGGTTTCTTTCAGAGGGATCCAAGTGGCTCAGTTCCCTTTTTGCAGAATAATTTCCATTGCTTCCTCTTTCTCCAAAGAGAGATGGAGAAAGATTGTGTAGGACTGGTGCCTTCCCGGTGTGAAGAGTCCAGTCTCCCACTGACTGAGGTGGACTCAAATATGACCTATCAGTATTTTTGTTACCCAGGAGTACTTAATTTAGAGTGTTAATGCCATTTATTAATGTGGTCTCTGGATAGAAACTGTAAATAAACTTATTGTAGATATGGTTTATATATAGCCACACTAAAATGCATGCAGGCTCTTCATGTTATTCACCTTTCAGTTTGAGAAGAAAAGTTACTTTTTTTTCCCCTCCTTATTTCCCCTTTCACAGATTCTTCTCCCCCCCCTCCCCCCTTTTTTTTTTTTCCTGAGGCAAATCAAATGTACTTTATTGAGCTCATTTAATTTTCATAACTAAATGAATTAAACTCCCAAATTTAATTGAATATTTTTTGTAACTAAATTAGACAGAAAGCCTCTTTACTCCCAGCAAGGGCTTGCATTAGATCAAAGTCTTGGTCTATTTAGAAGAAAAAATTACATGACACACTGGCTCATCACTTATAAAGAAGAAATGATAATATATTAATAGAAATGAGTACTGCAAAATCTCACATTAAATTATATTTTAAATGAAAAAAAATATTTGAAAATATTCAGGTAATTTGCAGTCATATATTATTTCTCTAGAATAGCTTGGTTCCACTGCATTAGCTAAAACAAACTGATTAAATTTGTGAAAAACCTAGGGAAGGAGACAGTGTGCAGCATGTGCTTTTCAGAAATTCAACCGTAGATGATAAGGGATAGTTAATTGCATTGCAGGAATTTCATTTGTATGGACATAGAAGTAATTGCTTCCCATCCCTTAATTGGTTGTTACAACCCTGAAGGAATTTGTTCCCATCGGTACAGCTTAAGTGTACTCTGCTTTTGGAGATGAGGACAGGTATTTCATGAGGCACCAAGGACTAAGAGAGTGTTGGCAGGGTTAAGGTCTGTTCTCAGTGCCAGGGGCAGAGTTGAAAGCACAGCGCGTTAAGTCTGCATGGTCTTTCCCTCTGACTGTCTCCAGAGGTGCTTGCACTGTTCAGAGCTCCAAGTATTTTTCTGCCAGTACGTGTTCTCTCACACTTGTGGTGGTGGCCATCTACCATTTGCATTTGAATTAAGCTGGTGTGACAATGTGGGGTTTGGCTTAACTGGTTCCAAAGATCCCCTGATGCATTTCCCAGAAAGGAGGCCCTTTTCAAAAACCATATGTAAACATGGCTTAGTTACCACGACTGCCTACTCTTTAAGCACAAAAGCTGGATTACTTGAGTTCTGCCTGCAAGCAGAGAATGTTCATGCCCTCAGCTTCTGAATCCCCAAATTAATTGCATATTCCTTCTGTGTACCCAGAAGCTGGCATCACTGACCCAGTTTCAAACCAAGGTGACCAGAGCTGACTGTTTCCAGTGAGCTGTCCTGTCACTTCTGTGCATGTCAGAGAACCAAGAGTGGTTTTCCTTGTTAGCTTTTAGACAAGAAAATAAAGCCATTAATAATAACAGCAAAAACAAGATGTTTCAAAAGAAGCTTGACTTTTCTGGTTCAACACACAGCTTTGGTATATTATTGTAAAGAAATTCCTGAGGAATCCTTTCAATTTAAGGAGCTGATTTAGAAAATATCAGGCAGTTTGCTTTCAGAGTTTATTGTAAAGCATGGAATGCGTGTAGTTTGCAAGGAACTCTAGTGAGTTACTGAATGTCTTTAATTAGATTGGAGCAAAAACCTACTGAGCAGGAAAACCTAGCTGCCTCATCCGTCATTTTCAAGCCTATTGGAACAAATGCGCTGTGAATGTGAGTCAGGGGAAACAATCACAGCATTGTGCTGCAGGGCTGATTGCAGCAGAGATGACATCAACAACGTCATGTTAGTAACCCAAAGGAACTCAAGAGATGTATATCTTGCTCAGCCACGTAGCCCCGTGTGGTGGGAAAGGTGGAACCTGCCTTTCTAGAGAGGCATGGAGAGTGTGCAAGTGAGATGACCGCTTTCATACTCAGCATCCTACTGTAGATGGAACAAGAAGAGGTAGAAGGTGAAGTTTGGGTTCTGTGTATTGAATAAAATTTGTGCACTATAAATGAACAAAATCCTATTCAGATATGCCTCCCATTCCTGGCACTTTATACCATACAATGCTTTCCCAGTCTTCCTGACCTGGTGGTGAACCAACAGGTTTGGAGCTAGACAGTTACATCCATCACTAATAGGAACTCACACAAATGCCTGAATATGATTTGTGGAGGAAATTCAGGGGAAGCTAGTCATGATTAGAAATGAGTGAATTCAGTCACCTGGCAGATATGGGACAATGTACGTTCTCTCCTGTAGGAAGGAGAGAGTGACTTCTTTGACTTCTTTAACCTGATTCCACAGAAGTGCTGGCAACTCTTCAATGAAGGAGGGATAGGCTGTTGTGCAGTTTCATGTTTATTTTCAACCAAAGAAATGAATGGAAAACTTGCAGAGCCAAAAACCGCCTTACATACAGAATCTCATAATCTTCTCTATCACATTCTGTCTGTCAAGAAAGAGCCCAGATACCTTCAAAGTTGAAGATGTCACTTTCTTCTTTGTGACAGGGACAGTTTGTACTTCAAAGAAGTGTCTGTTCAGAAAAGTAGCTTATGGGAGGGATGAAAGGTACGCTTCACTGATAAAATCTTTGGTTAGGGGGAATTTGCCTCCTTTTTATATCTTGAGGCACTATAAGAAGGGAGACACTTTGTGTTTATCACATCTATATACCCTGTAAGTATGCAAAGTACGGACAGAGGGGAATGGAAGAGAGGCTTTCTTCATGTGGAGGTTGAGCTTCAGGTAACCAACTGCAGCAATAGGAAAAAAAAACCAACACAAACTTAAATTGCATTTCAGAGAGCTGTACTGAGTAACAAGTGCCCTACCCTGTTCTTCTTCCTCCTTTGTGGTGCTGGCAGTGCGATTGCTTCTGTAAAGGCAGACCCTTTTTTACATCAATACCAATATGCTCAGAATCAGGCACAAACATTTCAACAGCTCATCAGGAGTGAAGAATGAAGATAATAAGCATAGCACTCTCTCTTCATTAGAAAAAGGCTGGGTATTTGTTGCCAGTGATTTATTTGGGTGGTGGGGGAATGGCTAATACCAAAAGTGAATTATCTTCCTAAATTGAATTACCTTGCTTGTCTGCTCCACTTCTGCTCTCTGTTTGAGCCCCGGTAGCTGTGCACAGCTGAATTTAGCCTGCTGTGTGGGAGCTACGGAAGGGCTATGCAACACCAAGGGTCCAGGCAGAGCCTGAAAAGGAGTTGCTAAAAAAAAAACCAAAAAACAAAAAAAAACCACAAACAAACAAACAAAAACCTCAAACCATTTTGTTCCAAGGTCCCCAGCAGTTTTTTGTTTCGTTATATGGTTGAAAGATGACCCCAAACAGAAAGAAGCTAGTCCAGGTGCCTCCTTAGCACTTACCTGTTTGTGCTTGGTGATGTTGCAGAGGCTTAGGTAGGCTTCTGAATGACATGTGGGAAGCTCAGTTTGTGTGAAGCACTCTCAGAGGTACAACATGGCTTTGTCTCAGTTTGGGACCTAGATCTATTTAAAAATGGTGGAAAATGTGTGAGCTGTGGCCTGGAGACCCATTCCACCATAGCAAGGCCAAGGGAACTTTGTCCAGGCAGACACAGGGACAGTCTATCATGGCAGTGGGGTGTTTGTTCTTCCTGCAGCCCCAGCCTTATACAAGCACCATGGAGAATCTGACCTGTAAAATTTAATATCCTTCTACAATATGCTTAAATAAAATATTATATCCCCCTCAACTGTATATGGCTTGGTCTCGGTAGCAAAGAAAGTGTTGTAATGCTGTCCTGGTAGGTGCCAAGGCAGGACTATTGTAAACATCAAGAGTTGAACTGCTGAAACTTAAACAAATAGTACCTTTGATTCTTCTCTCTTTTATTTATTTTTCTTTTAAAGACTCTTTTCAGTGATGTCTTGGCAAGTAAATTATATAAAGCAGAGAAGATGCAGAAGTTTAAAAGTCTGAGAGTGATTCTTAGTCCCCTTAAGAGAGGTCAGGTGGTCATGCTGATCTTCTGGATGTAATTATAGGATTACAAAGTAACTGTAAAATCCAGTTGCTAAGATTGAAACAATACATCATTTTATTAAAAAAGGAATTTCCATTAAAAAATAACCTATTAAATGAGAAATCCTTACACCCTAATCCCTTTTATTTCTGTGCTGTACGCACCAATGTTTTGCTCCCTTCTGCTGAGTTCAGTTTTGGCCTTTATGTGGAGTGGATAGTTTTTATTTTGTGTTTCTGTGATCTTCAGTCACTTAGCAAAAACTTCTGCAGAAACTTTGTACTTTAATTGGCTGTGTTTCACAAAATGATTTATAATATGGGACTGTTAACCAGAAAATATTAATGTTTCAGTGGGAAAAACACCATTAAAGTTTCATGAACAGCTGCATGTGATTAAAGTTGCCTAGTGAATATGCAGGTAGGTGAAAAACTGTAGCAGAAAATTTGGCAGCTGTTTATGGAAAATAAAGAAATATCAGACTTGTTCCTTTATGGTTGCTTGGAGTGTTTAGAGTGGCTTCAAATCTAGTAGGTGAAGTCAGTAATTTAGTAATAGAAATTTTTATTGCTTCTGTATCTTCTGTTAATGAAATTACGAGGAAGATCAGTCTAAGTCATCTTGTTTCAAGAGATTCCTTTAACACTGTCTAATATCTCTCTCTGCTTCTAACTTTTTTCCTCTTTACTTTGGAAGGTTGATGGCTACACAAGCCGCACGTGGTTTCAGTGCAGAAATCCCAGGATTTTGCTGTTGGGTCATTCTTTTTTTCTTTTGGATCAGACCTGTAATGT